CCATGCACTGACTTAGATCAGCCCAGAGGTTGTTACATGGTTCTATTTGTGAGTTAGCCATGCCCTGACTTTGATCAGCACAGAGGTTGTTTCAGGGTTCAATCTGTGAGTTAGCCATGCCCTGACTTAGATCAGCCCAGAGGTTGTTTCAGAGTTGTTAAGGGTCATATTCTCTTTTTCATAGGTCGTTTCTGTGGCACCAACTCACCAGGAGTGATCAACGCACAAGGCACAACATTAAGAATCAAACTCCATTCAGATGAATCTGACACAGCACAAGGATTCAGAGCGGTGTGGACCTCGAGGAGCCTTTCTGGAAAACAAACAGGTGACGCAGGAGGGAGGGGTTAGGACAGTGTGGGCACTGACGAAATATGACGCAATGTTAAGAAATAATATTCAAGGGAATGACATATGGTCTGAAATGGGAAAACATTAGGCTCAAATTAAAAGTGTCTAGAAAAGTAATAATACTCTAGGTAATGACATGTGGACTGACAGCAAAAAGGTCTATTGACAGCATGTATAATCATTGTCCTCAGGTGGGCGTCTGTGTGGTACTAGTGCCGTTGGGACACGTATTGTGGGAGGCGTGGTTGCCAAGGCAGGGGCGTGGCCATGGCAGGTTGCGTTTCTATGGAACAAAGGATACGATAAGAATGTGCAGTTTTGTGGTGGTTCGCTCATCGATCCAGAATGGGTCTTGACTGCAGCTCACTGCTTTGAGATCACTAAGGATAAGACCATGTATAAACTGAGATTAGGTAAGTCATGAACAATATGTCCGGGTAAACAGTTACTTGGCAACCATGTGTTACCACAGGCGGGGTTGCTAAAGCATAAGTGTGGTCGCAAAAGCAAAGGCGTGGTTGCTTAAAGAGAGATGTAGCCACGTGTCAATCTATCGAGAAAAATATTTTGTTTGAGTTACAGCTCTATACTGGTAAACAAAGATGTAATACTCAAGGGAATGGCATGTGTTTTAAAGTGGTGCAAAAACTGGCTTAGTCTATCATTAATTTATAATATTAGCTAGCAGAACAATATTGTATTTGCCTCATAACATGGAGGTCGTAAAACCGCTCTACACCAAGGGTCATATATACTGTTCGTATCTTTTTAAATTCGTTGTAAAATCTCTAATTTCAGGAGAGCATTTGTTGAACGAGACAGAAGGAACCGAACAAGATTTCTTGATCGACAAATATTACATTCATCCTAAGTACAATGAGCACACGACCGATAACGACCTTGCGCTCATCAAACTAGATAAGCCAGCCACTCTCAACAAGAGAGTAAATACAATCTGTCTTCCTGAAGCAGATGACGAGTTTGACACTGGTACCCTGTGTACTATCAGTGGATGGGGTGCGTTACAAGAGGGGGGTATCACCTCCAAGGTTGGTGCGCAATATACCTGGAATACACCTCTTGAATTGATTTTCCTAGAGGAATTGTTCAAAACAATAGGCCGTCTTTTCTTGTGCAAAAAATTCCATTGTTTTTGTCCCCCAGAACAATTCCTCTCTGGACTCAGTGCAAAGGGTCTTTAGACCTAATTTGTCTTGGTTCAAAGTCTAGCCATTTAATACAAAGCGTTCGAAGTTGCGCTCCTTTAAAAACAGCTCTCGATGTAGGGCTGCGCTTTGAACGTCTTTCTAACCTCTTCAACGTTCGTGTTCCAGGTCTTGATGCAAGCCAAAGTACCAATTGTATCACGTGATATATGCAAGCACGAGCAGTCGTATGGAGAGAAGATCACCCCTAACATGTTATGCGGTGGATTACGACAGGGTGGGGTTGATTCGTGTCAGGGCGATTCCGGGGGGCCATTTGTTTGTAGAAATCCAGAAAATCCCAAACAGTGGAGCCTTGTTGGGGTGACCAGTTGGGGCAAGGGATGCGCCAGGGCTTTGAAATATGGTGTTTATGCAAATGTCAGGAAGYATCTTCCTTGGATCAATCTACTGACTGGAAACATGCCAACATCCTCCCCCGGATCGACTGTTAACACATCTGATTCTGTGTTGACGTTACCACCTCTTCCAGGGGGAGGCGGGGATACCATACCAACTCTACCCCCGTTACCTGGTTTACCTTAGACCTACATGCTCCCCCCGTACTGACTGTACCTTGTTCGTCATGTTACAATTCACTAACACCAATAAAATTATGCAATGTGTGAGTGCAATGACCACAATCAACTTTTAAATGTTATCAACCCCTAAGACAACCTCTTGGCTGATCTAAGTCAGGGCATGGCTAACTCACAGATCTAACCCTGAAACAACCTCTGGGCTGATCTAAGTCAGGGCATGGCTAACTCACAGATCTAACCCTGAAATAACCTCTGGGCTGATCTAAGTCAGGGCACGGCTAACTCACAAATCAAACACTGAAACAATCTCTGGGCTGATCTAAGTCAGGGCATGGCTAACTCACAGATATAACTATGAAACAACCTCTGGGCTGATCTAAGTCAGAGCATGGCTAACTCACAGATCAAACTCTGAAACAACCTCTGGGCTAATCTAAGTCAGGGCATGGCTAACTCACAGATCAAACCCTGAAACAACCTCTGGGCTGATCTAAGTCAGAGCATGGCTAACTCACAGATCAAACTCTGAAACAACCTCTGGGCTGATCTAAGTCAGGGCATGGCTAACTCACAGATATAACYATGAAACAACCTCTGGGCTATTCTAAGTCAGGGCATGTGGCTAACTCACAGATCAAACACTGAAACAACCTCTGGGCTGATCTAAGTCAGGGCACGGCTAAAATACGACGCACCTTGCGTGTTTGCTCAATTTTTAACATTCTAACTGCGCACACATAAATGCGCGCGCAGCCTATTTCATAACATACCTTTTATCAGATATTTATAGTCGTTCAGAATGCTATTAATAAACCCGGTCTAACCGCAAATCAATGAGCCGACAAGTAGCTCTTCCTTTTGAGAGAAGTGGCGCCGAGAAGATCCTTAATAAAATACCTGCCATAAATAATTTAGCTACAATTCAAGTGATTCTAAAACGAGTTGATCATAAGAAATATTACTGAAAACGTGCCACCAATGAATTATTGAAGAGTTTTTAAATGCCAGGACTGTACACCAAACGAAAATAAATTCTAACCATAGTTCATCTAGTGGGTTTGAAGTACGCACTTTTTTGACAAGTCGATGATCAAAGATCATAACTTGTCGAGTGTGTGGTTTGAATATAAGAGAATATGCGCAATCTAAAGCAAGAAACTGTCGTATAACAAGTTGGTGATCAGAAATGAAATCTTTTCAAATAAATCTTTCGAATCAAGTGTGTGATTTGACTAAATGAATATGCACGCAATCTAAAACGAAATATTGGTAAAAATTAATTAGAGTACGTCGTATCACCAGTGGATGATTAAAAAAAGAGAACCCTGGTTGAGTGTGTGGTTTCACAATAAGAGAATGCACGCAATCTGAAGAAATACGCGTTTAAAAAAAAAACCATATATATATATATATAATTCTAAGCTTATCAGTCTGGGCTGCAGATTGTTGCTTTATAAATCATCCGACTTATGTTATCAGTACAAACAAATGATGCGGGAAATCTCCCTGATTAACTTGTCATCTATTCTTATGATGCTTCAGTGAGGTTAATCAGTTCGATAAGACCTTGTCGAGTTTGCTTTTTATGCATCCAACGAATGAACTGACGACTACCTGAGAAGTGACACAGACTCGCTTCTCATTCCTCAGATAAGCGCAAAATAAGCTCTTGATATTCGTCAATGTCGATGAAATCACCTTTATTCAACAAATAATACAGTTCCATACATGACACGATTATTAAGTATTTTAGAATGTTTTGTTTCTACGATGCTATAGTTAGAATCACTAAAAAAAACCCTGTTTACAAGATATTTTTACTGCTCTGGTTAAAAGGTTATCTTGGTATTTTTTTTTTGGTCCTTATAACTACAATTGAAGTTAATTTTCTCGTGTTGGAGGTTAAGTGTGGTCAAGTCAAGCGAAAGAAAACTAAATATTTTCGCTCTGATTAGCCCACAATACAAAATTCCAACATAAGTCTTTTAAATAAGTTTGTACATGGTCCACAGAACAACAATTCTGAATTAGAGTGATTTAGAGTATACTATTATGTATTATAAAATAACTGTTATGAATGTCGCGTTCTGGTTGGTTTGGAGCGCGTGCTTTATGAGAGCACATTGCACGCGCGCGCACTTTCCGTTGCGTCATTCCTATCTATTATTGTAATTTGTATTTTATAAAAGAAATAAAAAACTTGCTTGCTGTGCTGTGTGCAGTCATAAAGCACTTGGGGGTCGGCAGAACATTCGAGAAGTGTCGAGAAGCACTCTCCTACGCGTCGTGCTTCTCCTAACACTTCTCTCGTGTTCTGCCAACCCCCGCGTGCTTTATGACAGCACACAGCACGCGCGCGCGTTTTCTATTTCTTCATTAGGAGTATTATGCCATCTGTTTTCTACGGCCCAAGTAAAATCCGAAGAATTATAAAGTGGTAGTCCTTCCTGTTAGTTCCTCCTGACAGATCCTGATCCTGTGTTGATTGTAGTTTCTATTAAGCGTAACGTGTGCATTATGTGATATGTAACATATACAGTTCCACCAATAGACCTAAGGTTGCGTGCGCATCCAAATTTAAAGAACTTGACGGGCCACGACACCAGAACAGGAGCTTTATGATGAGAATTATTATACATTCCTATGGGATTTGTTTCGATAAGAATTTATAAAATCGATTATTCTCCTCTTTAAATATAAAACTGGCTTCTCAATTTTACTGAATTTAAGTTTTTCAATTTTGTGGCCCGTCAAGTTGGGTGCGCACGCAACCTTGAGAAAATTTCACTTTATAGTATATATTGAATTTACATTTTAACATGAATGAGTTGTATTCTCATCTTCCTCCAGTTTAAGAAACGCTGTGAGATTTTCTCTCGAGGTCATAGCCGTAGAGTCTGTGAATTTTTCAAACATATTATCTACTTGATGGAAACTGAAGAAGCGAAAGAAATATTTACATGCAAGTTTGGGGCATAGTGTTACAACACAGTATATCGAGGCTTTGCACCATCACGTGAGTCTTTCTTCCCTTGGAAACTGAATTCTTTCTCGTTTAAATCAGATTAGACCAGATTTTAATTGTTCCTGCCTCCTGTCATGGCTGCCATCACATGATGGTGCAAAGCCTCTGTAGTGCTTCGCTTACACTTTCTAACAGTGGCTTCAGAATCGTTTGAGGCAATAATCACGAGATCACATGGTACAAGAAGTGTCTCTTGATTTATGGTTCCAGGCCAGCCACATGATTGAAAGGTCAAAGTCCAAAGTTCACGACCCTCAAGCCATGTGATAGAGAAAGATCAAGCAGGCCACATTATCGGAGGCTCAAAGTCCAAAATTAATGACCCTTAAGTCACGTGATGGCGAAAAAGATCAAACAGGTCACATGATTGAAAGGTCAAAGGCTACAAGCCATGGCCCCAAAAGTCACAGGATAGAGAAACAGATCGAGCAGGTCACATGATTGAAAGGTCAAAGGCTACAAGCCATGGCCCCAAAAGTCACGCTATAGAGAAACAGATCGAGCAGATTACATGATTGAAAGGTCAAACTCCAAAGTTCATGGCCCTCTGCATGTTGTAAGGTCAAAGTCTATAAGTCAAAGCCCGAAAAGTCACGTGACTGGGAAACAGGTCAAACTTGATCTGATGAACTTAAGGAGCCTGTAGACACTACGGGGAAGTTTGTGGAAGTCGTTGATTTTGGGGAGTTTTTGCTATGTAGCTTGAAGGTGGCGGTGGCGCCTTCAGGAGAGGACAAATGAGCATAAGGTGCTCGTCTACGGGCGAAATTCTCTTTAGCTCCCAACATCTTCCTGAAGGCCATACGAAAGTTATCACTAACAACGGCGTAGATGAAAGGGTTACAAGACGAATTCAACACAGTCGCAACGACACACAAGTTATAAAGAACCCAGAGATAATGGAAGTGTAGCAGACTGGGCATACATGTCAGCAATAGTCGGAATACATTAACAGGGAGTAAGGTCACGGCGAACACCACCACTACCGGGGTAAGGATCTTCTTAGCTCGGTTGTTTCGCTTGATTCGCTGCTCATCATGGCGAGAAGATGAGCTATCGCGCAGGTTCTTGGCTCTCCGAGTTGACTCGTTGAATGCTGTACTGTTACCTAGCTTGCGAAATATCTTGAAGTATGTCCACAAGATGATTGACAGAGGAAGCACATAGTTGTGGAAGGAGCAGATGAAAGTGTATCCTCGCACCATTGACTTACGGTGTTGCTGAGGCCACTCTTGAATACAGTCCTTGAACCCAGCTCCCTCCCAATAGCGCGTCACAATGAGGAGAGGGAGGCATAGCACTAGGAAAGATATTATCCAAGAAATAAAACAGATAATGCGAGCAATCTTCATGGATCGAAGATGGCTGTCATTGACGATCCCGCGATATCTGAAAAGATTAAAAAATCAAGGTTAGGATTACGGTCAAAGTAAAAGGGTCCATGAAAGAAATAATACTCAAGGGAATGACATGTGGTCTGAAATTACGCCTAAAGTAATCATTACGCTTTTTGCTTTTTAGTGAAAAAACCTCACAAGGATGAGGCAAAATTACGGTTTCATTTGTTATGTCTCACTCTAAGAGACTAGAGAACGCTTTTACCAAAATAACCGGCTCGAACCACATAAAAACGTGCATTGTTTGACAAGGAAACGTGCAAAATAACATTAAGAAACGAAAAATGTTTCTGTTCATTACTTATTTAAGACTCGAGGGAACCGAGACATTTGTTTGATATTTATATTTAATTTCCAGAAGAAGAAAAAACCTACTCATATCAAACAATTGTTGTCATTCGCGGGCTTCCTGTGGTGACAAACCACGCTCCCCTCCCCTACACAATTTCCAGTCTTTTTTCGGCCAAAACCAAGATGGCTGACTAGTTAGTGATGTTTTCACTCGATTTACTGTAAATTTGAGCAGTTTTGAGCAAGAAATTCGCCTATTTAGTGAAGAAAATTATATTCCAATTTCCTAATATGGTAAGCACATTCCATATATGGTAAAAGAAACAGCTCGAGCGGAACGACAACTTTTCTATGTGGAAAGTTTGATATGAAGTACGACGTTAACTAAAAATGAGCGTTAAAATAAAAGGATGTATAATTTGATTTTTTTAAATTTCATTTTTAATTTTTGCTCGCATTTTAAATTTTTTGTAGAAACTAAATTGTTTTAAATTTTTCTGGACTCTGCTGGATACTTTATTTTTATTGAAAGAAAAGAAAAATTTTCTCCACATAAGTATGACGTACTAATGAATCTTACTGAAGCAAAAGTATGTTTTACGAATATGTATTTGTTGAAATCTGTTTCCTACGGTGTGTTTATCATAAAATATGTGAAATACATAAAGACATGACTGAAGTGAAGTAATGTTTCGTTCATTCAAATTGTTTTATACTTTGCTCGCCGCATTTTGATTACTTTTGTGTACTCTAATTTTGCCGAAACTTGTCAAAGAAAAGTAAAAACCTCAGAAACTAAATTGTTTTAAATTTTGCTAGTATTTATAGCTTAACACAGGCGAACATCACACCATGAAAACAAAAGATCAGTCGGCCATCACACCGTCTGTTTTGCTTGCTTTAAAGTAATTATCTCCAGGACTGGGAAGTTCGTTAACCTGTGGTGAATTGATTCATTATTTTACTAGTATCTCGTCAACTAATGACCAGGATTTATTTATGGAACAATAATATAGGAACAAATGCCTCGAAGGATGATAAAGAAATCTCTTTGCGACCACACAGCGATACATTCAAAACAACAACGAAAATACAAAAGCGTCGAAGGATAGAAAAGCGAGAAACAGTGGTAAAATGTGGCGGGTTCTAACGAAACAAAGAAATTCATTTAATTCAAAAAACCAGCAAACAAAGTACCAGGTTATCTAAGGAAGCCGGAGGTTGGTCAGCGGTTGTAGCAGGCAAAATTTGAAATTTTCTTAATAAATTTTCTCTCAAATGATTGGAATTTTTTTGTTCTAATTAAATTTTCTAATAACCCAGTGAAAGCACAACTTGGGCCCTCATACTGTTATTTTTGTTACTTGTTGATAACAGTGTTCGGTGGTGCACGATTCGATCTCGCGGATTCTTTCAGCCTAGTCTCCCCAGCAGCCGTTCTTCCCTGCACTAAGAACGGCTGCTGAAGAGTCTAATTTAAGCCTCAAGTGGTTTTTTGACTATATTTTTACTTCTCCTTCTCCAAGTTTATATCTAACATTTGAAATATCTTGATAATTTGTGTTCGGATGTGAGAAAGCAGTATTATCAACGACTTGGTCGATAAACACCGTTTTCTGTTCATTACGAGTAGAAGAAGAAAACAACGCCGAAAGGGTTATCGATAACTCAAAGAGACGAAGAATCATTAAAGTAAAAAAGAAAACCGTTGATTGAAGAGTATACCATTTAAGGGACGGACTACTAGATTATTGAAGGGAGGATTGCGTTAATCCCCCAAAAATACCCAGCAAGCAATTTACCTACGTCAAAATATCGCGCAACATCTCCTTTTAGTTAAAAAATATCAAGATATTACACACACACACACACACACACACACACACACACACACACAAAGCGTGCATGAATTGTTGCAAAACAATAAATATCGTCTGCAACCTCTGCTCCTCCCCTCCCCACCCCACCCCACAATTATCTAATGTTACTAAGCGAATTTACATCAAGGTGTATGTATATTTTTATATATTTATTTATTTATCAACATCAACAGATTTTAATTCTAGTTATAATAATAATAATAATAGTAATAATAATAATAATAATAATAATAAATTAATAGTTATGGAAAATTGTGAACACGAGTGGAACGGCAATCATTGATGTCAATAATACTTCAATAATATAATATTAAAAATTGTTACTAATACTGGTAGATATTAAATTTAAACCTCAAGTTAGATCAATCAATATATATTCTCAAACTAACTTGATTCAACGAAACACTTAAATAAATAATGTAAGCTGTAGGTCAAACTCCAGCAGCGGTTAATGCGGTTTACCCCGATTTAGTAATTTGTAAAAAATAAACGTTTTTGTACGAAATTTATCGTTTTTGGGGTTAGGGTTAGGGTTAGGGTTTTGATGTTTACTAGAAACTAAAACTTCTTGAATGACCAGATGCTCAGTGGAATAGAAAGATAAGATTGCTATTAATTAAAGAGTTTAAGATTCTCGTTTACGGCAAACGTGGAACGTCAGTTGACAATTAAAAAATTCTTTAAATTAGTGGAAAGGAATCGCAAAAATCTCCAAGTAGTAGATAAACAAAAGAATACTTGTCTTTGTCGAGAAGGTTTGCAAAAGGTAAAGTGAAATGTAGGGAAACGATGTAAACGTGGTCACGTTTGCCGTTTGCGGGAAGGAAAAACGGGAATCTTAATCTGCCTATTAACGGCAAACGTAAAACGACAGTTTACCAGTAAATCATCCTTTAACAATAGCAAAAAACGATCTCCAAGTAGAAGACGAACAAAGGAATACTTGTCCCTTGTTAGAAGGCTAGCGAAAGGTAAAGCGAAATACAGATGATGCCGAAACGTGGTCATCCGTTTTTCCGCTTGCGGATAAAAAACATGTCTTTTATTTCTCACAAATAGTCTAGAAAGATTGTACGCCATATTTTAAAGCCTCATCAGCGAGTTTTCCATGAAGTCCAAACTTAATTTCGCCGTGAAAACAACAAAAAAAAAAAAAAAAAAAAAAAAAAAAAAAAAAAAAAAAAAAAAAAAAAAAAAAATCAATAATAATAATAAAACGCGCGGGAGGCTAACTTCAAAGTTTGTCATATCATAATTCAAAAATATTCTGTTCAGCCCCGGCTTCGCGGTGATTAACTATCCTAAAGACGGCATTTGCTTATCGAGAAATCATCTGTAACTAATTCTTAAATCGTTCGCCTGAAGACAACTCAGAATATCAGTTGTCTTAAAAGAAAGTTTAACTGACCGCCGTCATTAATTCATCATTGTGTCAGCAACAGACAGTTCTGCATTTTGACACAGATTGATGAAGCACCACTTTTGAATCATTTAACCAGCCTTGAAAATATCACCGCTTTAAAAATGAGGGTTTATATTAGCGCCCACTAGTTACTATTCGATTAGTCTGACAACATCTAGTAATAAAGAGCAAACATCAGGTTAACTCCTACACGCTAATCTAATGCGTGAATCTTATTTTCAAGTACACTATCCAAAGAGGATAATCTTTGAAAATAACAGTTAAATAAAGACAATTGCTATAAATAAAGTAAAGAACTCAAACATCTTACTGGCAAGCATGGCGGTGGAGAAAACACTCGACTACATGATGTTTCTTGTAACATTTCACCATGGATTTAAGTACATTCTAAGTACTTATTTTAATCTTATAAAAGTATCTAGTGAATAAAGAATAAATGAATGGATCAAGAGTGGCTAGAAACTCTTAATCGTTGTCGTCATAGACTTCTCTTTCCATAGTGTTGACATGAAGAAGATAGTGGATACGTGAATGATGAGAAAACTGAGAGGACATTCGATACTTCGAGACAAGTGTTGTTGTTGTGTGTGTGTGTGTGTGGAAAAAAAGAGAAAGAAGTAAGAGAAACTGAAAAAGTAATGAAGAAGGCAAGGAGGTTGGAGGAGTTAATAGATAAAAGGAAAGAGATACGGAAGAAAAACGAGGGAGGCTGAATGAATGAAATAAAGGATGGAAGAAAGAGGAAGGAAGGAAGGAAGGAAGGAAGGAAGGAAGGAAGGAAGGAAGGAAGAACTAAATAAACTAGATAAATTTAAGACAGAAATATCCCACGTTTACTGATTAAAAGTCAACTTATTCCGCTGCCTTGGTTGCCCGTTCTCCTCCTCTTCCTCGTCCACCACGGAAGGCAAAAGACGAACAGTACACTTGGATGTAACCTTGGAGACGGGTTTAAGGACGGACCAAGAACATGTATAAATTAATGATGTGATATGAAATATCGAGATCTAAATACATCGCACCTTTATCCCGCAAGAAAATCATCCTCGTAAAAAATACCGACAAAAACTGAGCAGGTACATTTATAATGATATCAAATATATTGGCCTTTATAAGTTTTCTATCATAAAATCAAATATATTATGGCGTTGGAAAAACTGTGTAATTCATGATCATTGCATCAGAAACTCATTACTTAATATAATGAAATATTACATTGACATTTAAGGGACAAGTTGGAATTCTGAACACCGACGAATATACCAAGATATCAATAATTTTTGAGTCTCGATTCAACATCACAAATTAGCGGAATAAAGGAGTTGAGCAACATTTCAGTGCAAACCGGTTTTGGATTTACCCTCTTCGCAAAAAGAAGAGCGATTGTTATTTTTTGAGTCTCTGGCTGAGTCTTGTAAACATCAGCGTTATATACCGAACAAACCCCTTGACAAAAGAATCTAATATCTCATCCTATGTGCATGGCAAGGCAATCACAATCGGTTCTTTTGAATCTAACGATGCAGCAAAATGGAACTGTTAGTTTGGTTAAGAGTGTAATTTGCTCTCTACCACTTTGAACAAAAACAAACATTGTACAGCGATCAGTGAGATAGTTGAGTTAAGAAGTTTTAACTTCTTAAAAGAGACAGAAAAGAAACGGAGCGGTAGCCTTCTTTATCATGTTTCTTTTGCAGGGGTTCGAACCCCGTGGGTTCAAAACACATCTTGAACTCAGCTTTTTCTGAGTTCTTGCTTTATATATAATCATAATAATTCTTAAGTTACATTCTCTAGAATTATCCTTTTGTTCTTGAGGAATCATAGCCAGAAATATATTAAATATAACAAGCCACACACAGAGCTACAAACAGAACAACAGCTCAAGTATTGACCGATCTCTAGCCTTTTAATAATTTCTTGGTAAGAGACAATGTTTGTGTTAGATACCAAGGCTGTAGTTTTTGCTCAAAGTATTTTTTTGGCGATGTAACTAGTGCGTAGGTGGTTTAAAGAAGATAGTGGCAAACTGAAAGTGAACTGAAGTGAAAACTTGAGCAAATATATCATACAAAGAACACAGATAGGACGACATGGTGCTTGTCGCCAATAATAATCGTCTTCTGGAACTATTCGAAAACATTCCGAATTCAAATCACTAAATATTTTCTTCGTTAATAATAAAACATTTTTGTAAAGTAAAGACATGAACCCCGAGGCTAAAAAATGATTAAGAAAAAAACAACATTTCACTAATTATCGTGATAATAAAAAAAAAAAGATTAGAAATTAAAGATACAATTTGAAATTTGAGAATTTTTAGTAAAACTAGTCGGTTCGGCGACAGAGGGACTGCCAAATTTAAAGGGTAATTGAGCATTTCCGGAATAGAACGATGGCTATGGCTCTCTAGTATAACATGTGAAAAATCCAATAAACTCTAATGAAAAAATGCCGTGCCTCCTTGAGGGTTGGTTGGTCCTTGTGGCATCGCAATTGCAAAGCATCTAAATACACTTTTTTCATCTTTTCACGGTGTATAATTTACATTTTCATCATCATTACTGTTAAATACACTTCAATTGATCAGTAATTTCATAATATATTTATTTTAAATTTGTGTTTTTCAATGCAAAGTAAAAAGAAAAGAAAGAAAACTTTATTGAGGAGCCGAGTACAGTTTAGTGAATTTTGAAATATTTTTGGACGGTAAAGGGAAGTATCATAAGGGACAAAAAATGAAGAGAAAAGTTGCTTGCGCACAAGAGGAAAGGAAAGGAAAGGAATGGAATGGGATGGAAAAAAATCTTCTACAGCTTTCTTAGTTTTACTTTTTTTTTTTTTGCATTTATATTTGCCTGTTTTGGTCTTGGAGAGAGAAAGAGAAAGAGAAAGAGGGAGAGAGAGAGAGA